GAAAAGGTTTAAAGGAAAAAAAACTTAAATATTTAATTAGAGACATATATCTAAATTGTTTCAAATATCAAACTAATAACAACATAAAAACATATTATGACGGTTTATTTCAGAACGGCGCAATTCCATTAATAAACAGGCCAACTAGAGTAACAGAAACATCAGCTTCCGTAATTGATAACATAATAACAACCGATATCTTGAACTATTTGCTTAAAATAGGTATAATAAAAAATGGCGTTTCTGATCATTTCCTTATTTTCTTTTCTCTAAATCTTGTTACCAAAATAATACAACAGCAAAAACAACTTTTCATCAAACGTTTTTTCAATGAATCAAATATCGAATCATTTAACGATTCTACTATTCCTGGAAAAATATTGACTCTACATTAGAAGCAAACGTAGTCTATAGCTCATTCTTCAAAGCATTTTATGATATCTATAACACAAATTTCCCGAAAATTAAAAAAATTAAATCAAATAAAAGCCTTAAATCACCGTGGATCAATAAAGACCTCAGAAAGTCTTCAAAAATTAGGCAAAAACTTTATTTAAAATACTTAAAAATCACAGCAATTGAAAACAAAACAATATACAAAAATTATACAAAACAATTTGAAAATAATAAAAACAAAAATGCAAAAAAAAAAATACTATTTCAATTTGCTAGAGAAACATAAATTCAAAACGCACTTGGCAAGTTATAAGTGAAATCACGGGCAAACAAAACTTTAAATCGAGTTCTCTACCTAAAACTAAATTAATGATAAAATTATAGATGGTCCTAAAGAAATTGCAAGTGAACTAAATAAACTCTTTGTATCTGTTAGACCTAATCTTTCAAAAGCATTCCAAATATGATAAATACAATCAATAATTATGAATTTCCTTTAACCTCTGGTCTAAGTGCCTTTGAACTATCATTTTCAGAATTTGAAAATGCTTTTAAAATGCTTAAGCCCAATAAAGCAAATGGCCTAGATGATTTTAATGGAAACATTGTTATTAAGTCATACGATAACATAAAGAATACTCTATTTAATGTTTTTAATTATTTATTAAGTCAATGAATTTTTCCGGCCCAAATAAAGGTTGCAAAAGTGACCCCTATATATAAAGACGGTGAACTAACAAATGTTGGGAATTATCGTCCAATTTCAGTTTTGTCAATTTTTTCCAAAATTCTTGAAAGATTTTTATTTGATTGAATTTTTAATCATCTCTCTCAAAATAATATACCTTACAACAATCGGTACGGTTTTCAAAAAATACAACTCTACAGAACACTCAGTACTTCAACTAACAAGAATTATTACTGACTCCTTCGAAAAATCACAATTTCCTTTAGGTATTTTTATAGATCTATCTAAAGCTTTTGATACTATTGATCGCGCCATTCTCATAAAAATATAAGAACATTACGGTATCACTGGTAAAGTCTTAATGTTATTAAAAAGTTACTTAAATAATCGTAAACAATTTATGCATATTGATACACACTTAACAAATACTGCTTTAGATATATCCTGTGGAATCCCCAGGGTTCCATACTTGGACCACTGCTATTTCTAATTTATGTTATCGACCTCTATAAAACTTCTAATTTAATGAAAATAATGTATGCTGACGATACAAATCTTTTCTTTTTTTTTTTTTATTTGCATTCACTCCCAACAAGGCTGCAAGCAACCACTATTAAGTTGAGAGTTACTAGGA